CTCAGAGTTGAACGGGTACAGGCTGGAAAGTTGTGACCTCAGAGCGGAGGACTCTTCCCTTTCAACCTGGGAAAGTTCTCAGAGTGCATGGCTTGACACGCACATGACCATGACCACAGAGCTCATGTTGGGAGCAACAGAAGCCCCTGCTACAAGCTTCTGACCATGCCCTGTGGTCCTGGCATCATTACTTAACCTCTTTGAACCTCAGTCTTCTCATCTTAAATTAAGAATGACAGCTCGGTGTGGTGGCGCGTACCCTTGATCCCAGCACTCAGGAGGCAGAAGCTGGACGATCTGAGTTCAAGACAGCCAGGACTACATAGAGAAACCCTATCTCACCACAGAACCCCCACCCCACCTCCCCAAAAAAAGAAAATCATAATTTTCTAAAGTTTGAACTAGGTACAAGTTTAGATCCTGGCACACATCAATTCTCCATAAATAATAACTGGTCCCAGCTGGGCATGGTGGTGCACACCTTTGATTACAACCCTTAGGAAGAAGCAGAGGGATCTCTGTGGGTTCAAGGCCAGCTTGGTCTAACAAAGCGAGTCCAGGACAGCCAGGGCTGTTACACAGAGAAACCCTGTCTTGAAAAACAAAACAAAAGGACAACAACAACAAAAATTAACCAACCCTGTTGTTATTGATTGTTAATTGTTCTACTTTTCTTTTTGAGACTAGGTCTGACTATGTAGACTTGGCTATCCTGACAGTCACTATGTATACCAGGCTGGCCTTGACCCCGTAGACAGCTGCCTGCCTCTGCCTCCCAGGTGCAACTCTCTACTTTTCAAAACACTGTCACAAACATTCAAGTGAGACTCTGAAGGTCTTGAATGAAACTCTCAAATGATGGTACATGCCTGTAACCCCTGCTACTCTACAAACAAAATCAAGGCCAGCCTGGGCTACAATACAAAGTCTTGTCTCCAAAACAATTAAAAAAAAAAAAATCCTGACTAAAGTAATTTCCTTTCAGCCACTGAATATCTCAGATCCTTGGGTTCATAATATCATCTACTCTGAGACTGTGTTGGGGATGGAGGCAAGGGGACAGGTAACTAAAAAAGGAAGTCCTATGCGGGGAGGCAAAGGCAGGCGGATCTCTGTGAGTTCAAGGCTAGCTTGGTCTACAAAGTGAAAGTCCTTGGGGATGGAAAGTTAGCTCAGGGGTTAGGAGCACCTGTATTTCTTGCAAAGGACCCAGCGTTCGATTCCTAGCACCCACATGGAGACACCCCACCTCCTCAGGCACCAGGCAGGCATGTAGTACAGACATACATGCAGGCAAAATATTCACATACAGAAAATAAAAAAATTTTTTAAAGTCCTCAATTTGTGAGAGACTTAGGGTCCACAGTGTAAAGATGGACCAGGACCCAGGGATGGCAGGTGATGTCAGCGAGCCTTCTGCCAGACCTCTAGGTACTAAGTGCAGGGTTGTTCACCTCATCCAGTGGCACTCAAGAGCGTCTCCACATTCGTGCCTGCTAGCATCCCTCAGTCTCATTTCATGTTACACCATCAAACACTATAAGGAGTTTGGAGAGGGACAATACACAATCTTGAATAGAACCTTGAATCACTTTAAAACTCACATATAAGAATACATCAGTATGCAGTTCCAGTCTTTTTACATCAATCTTTATTTTTAACTGAGTATTTAAAGGTGACAAAAAACTTAATGAATAGACAGGACAAAGGGAGCTGACTGGCCACGGCTCATTAGTTCCTGAAGTTAATGCTTCTCATGGGGACAGCGGTCAGCTAAAGGATAGTACTCCAGGCAAACAGGACACCGTTCTTCCAGCCCAGGATCCCAGTCCATGAATTATCACCAGGGCTCCGAGTAGCAAAGCTTACTGGATGCTCCAAGGCTTTACCCCAGGTCCACCTACAGCTAACTGTTCACTCTGCCATTTGACAGCATCCAGGGAAAAGCAATATGGTACAATGGGAAAAGCATATCTTGGGATCAGACAGCCGAGGTTGGAGGTCCAGCTCTGTGTCCAGCAAGCCTGTCATCCTGGTAAAGTCATGGAGCAATCCTGGGCCCCTTTCCTCCTTCGTAATCCTTCTACCCTCATTCTATCCTCAGAGGCTGCTGGAAGATCAGACTGTACAGGAAGGATGGGATGGGGAATGTGGCAGAGCTGGGGCTTGAAAAGCCACCTTTTTTTTAATTCCAGCACTCAGGAGGCAGGGAGTGTCAGATGGATCTCTGAGTTGAAGGTCAGCCTAGGCTGCAGAGTGACTTCTAGGACAGCCAGGGCTAAACAGAGAAACCCTATCTCAAAAAACAAACAAAACAGAAACCCAATCTTGTCAGAGCCAGTCAACTTCTGCTTTGTGATGGAATCAAAAAACTTAACATCCCCTGTGACCTCGACTCCTACGTGGGACCCTTAGGAGACATTAAGAGTCAAACAGGAGAAATAATTCCTTGAGGGGCATAAAAAAGAAAAGAAAGGGAAGAAAAACAAGAAGCACCCACAAGACAAGAACGATGTTCTTTAATGATCTTCCTAACTTATGAATAAATGAATTGATAAGAGAAAGGGAGGATACCTCACATCAAAAGACACTCCTCAGCCCAGGTATGGTGGCACACACCTGTAATCCCAGGGAAGGCAGAGGCCTGCCTGGTCTACAAAAGCAAGTCCAGTACAGCTAAGGCTACAAAGAAACCCTGTCTTGAAAAAAAAAAAAAAAAAAAAAACTAAACTAAAGAAGACACTAGCCAACAAACACAAAGACGAATATAATTTTATACGGAACCTGACACAAAAACTAGCCTTTGAAGATTAAGTTTGATGTCAAAGTAATGCACAGTGAAAGGACTGCTCCCTCTCTGTTTTTATTAAGTAACATTCTGTGCATTTCTCCCCTATATTCTTAAGAGCCTCAGAAAACAAGAGCTTTTGACCTGGAGGGAACTCTTTCCTCCTCTCCCCACCTCTACCATATCCACAAGACCTAGCAGATTCTAGCACACCACAAACTCTCAATAAAAAGTTATCAAATAAATAAATACCTTTTGGCTCTAGGCAGTTTCTTTGTTCATAACGTCCTACAGTTGTTCTATCTAAAAGTGTAATCAAGCTGGGGATATGGCTCAGTTGGTAGAGGGCTTGCCTAGCATATATGAAGCTCTGGCTTTGACTCCTACACCACACAAACCTGGTGTGGTAATACAAGCCTGTAATCCCAGCACCCAGGAATTGGCAGCAGAAGGACCAGAAATCCAGTGTCATCCTCAGCTATTAACAAGTTTGAGGCCAGCCTGGGATATAAGAGGCCATTTCTTACAATTACAAATACACACACAGAGCCGTTGCTGCTTTTTCGGAAGCTGTCTAAGAACATAATCTCTAGTAACACACAGTATGATGCTGACATAATCTATAGCTCTCATTCCTCACCATTCAGCCCAAACCACTCTGTAACTTGTCCTCCCTCCTCATCTGTCCTTGGACTACCTGTCAGTGAAGTTCATAACCACCATGTTCTGGTCTGAATCACCTTGTCCATCTCCTTTCTCGAAGATAAATGAGCCAAGCGGAGTCTCCCAGAGCCCCCTCCCCCCCCCCTTCAAAGGCTTCATGTCCGCTTCCAGAGGAGCTCAGGTAGCAAAGACCCCAGCAAAATTCTAACTCCGCCCTCTCATCCTCAAGAGGATTACCTGGAAGACCCTGGAAACATACCGAAATCGTTTAAAGGTTGGGAAAAGCTAACAGAAGAGGCAGTTTCCTCGGCCAGTACAAAATACACTTCACTGCATGGCACCCCAATCCGAAAGGCAAACCTTCAAACTCCCTTCCCCAAGGGCCATGGATCACCTGTCCCTCCATTCTTCCTTATTATTTTCCACATACAAGTCACTGTTTCTCTTCGGTTTAATCTGGCTCCCGAAATGCCTGCTCTATATCCTTTGAGGAGAATAATCAAAAATATTTTAAAGACTACTCCTCTCGATGGAGCGCAGGGCAATGGTGTCAAGACGCTTGGACCTCACGCAGGAACAGGACACACAACCTGTGTCCTCAGGGCTCCCCACAGTTTTTCTTCAACTGTAAAAAAGTATGTCGTCCTTACACAGTATTTATGAAATCTAATGACAAAGTGCTCCTTAGCTCTAGCAAAAAAAAGAGCGAGGGTGTTTAACAGACTTTGCCCTTAAATTTGATGCCGTGTAACCATAACAACTGATGGTTTAGGTAACCATCAACCCACTGAGGGGCTAAGTTTTCCAAAAATCGTTTTCAGTGGGGGGGAAAAACTCCCCTGCACCAACTCCTGCGCGGAGTCGGCGCTCCAGGGCGGCATGCGGTGCAATGGAGCCGGCGGTTCCCGTCCCTGCTCCGGTGCCCGGGTCTCCGCCACCGTCCTCCCCGCGCTCCGAGCGGGGCAGCTGGCGTTAGGCCTCAGCCCAATGTCACTTGTTAACCTTCCGATCTCCCCGGTTTCGGTGCGCCGCCGCCTCCCTTCTAAAGCACACAAACCACCCCTGGGTCCCCGACGTCCGCCAGGAGTTGCAGAAAAAAAAAAAAAAAAAAAAAAGCGAGGCGCCCACAGCCACGGACGGATTCGCGCGAAAGTGGCTGCGCTCCTCCGCTCCCAAGCTTCTCCCGCGGCGGCCGAGGGGGCGGCGGGAAGCCGGGACCCCACGCACAGGAGTGACAAGCGCTCTCCCTCAGCGAGCGGCGGATGCCGCTTCCCGGGACCGACGCGCCGAGCCGCGGACGCCAGGCTGGGACTCGCCGGCTACACCTCCCTCCCCGGGGCGACCCCGCCCCGCCCGGCCCCCAGCCCGGGAAGGTCTCTCCCGGGGCTACCCGCGCCGGCGCCCCCAGCCCCGGCAGCGTGGACGGCGCTGAAGCGAGCCCCACTGCGCCAACGGCGGCGGGAGCTGCCGGCGTCCCGGGCTACCTCAGCGGGGGCCTGCGCCGCCCGACGCTCCCGGCGCCGCCCCGCCTGGCCCCGGGCGCGCTCACCCCGGGTCCGCTGGCTGCCTCATCCTACTGCGCCGGCGCTCGTCCGCCGCGGCTCCGGCTCCGGCTCGGGCTCTGGCAGGGGCCGCCG